GTTTGCCGCCTCCCACGGTTTTATCACCCTTAATGAAATCCTCCCAGGCTGTGAGAAAAAGTGCTTTTTTTCAAAAGCATAAGGAATCATCCAAAAACATCTGTATTTGTTTCAAATGGAACTGACCGCTGCCAAAAAACAACAGTTGTTTTGTCAGAACCTAGTCTGTATTTCTTCCTTGGTCTTTGTTTAATTTATGTATCCTTCAATGGTTTCCCCTGGGACAGTACAGGTCACTAGTGGCCAAAAATCCCCAGCGATCTAGAAAGGACAACAGACATGAAGCCAGCTGGCAAGCTTGCTGTTTGCCGGACTGTTCTCCTGGAGTCTGAGCCCTAATCCTTCTGTTCCTACCACACGTAGCCCCCTCACGTAGTGTCCGAAGGGATCACGCACAGCAGTAATTCTGAGGTTTGTTTGAAGGAGGGAACTGAGCCTGCTGGTCTTGGTTAATAACTGGGGGACTGACTTCTGGGTTCTTGTCACCTTCCCTTGAGAAGACTGTGAGGACTTTTTGTCCAGTAGATTCAATGACTTTCATCCTGGCTGCCCACTGGAGTTATCTGGGAGCTGCCGGCATCCTACCCCCACTAGTCTGATGTAGGGGGGTCGGTGGAGGTTGGGCACTGATATTTTCAAAAGGTCCCCAGATGGTTCTAATGGGCACTTCTGTTTCTGCAGCGGGACCTTGCAGTTATTCGCAGGAGGGTGTCCAGCCCTGTCCTGAAAGGAATACACATTTCTTTGCCTCTCTGTAACTACCCTGGGGGGTGGGTGGGGGGGAAATGGGGTGGGGTGTCTTTTGGAAACAAAGATCATTGTTTCAAGATTCTGGTTCATTGTTTTTGAAATGCTCATTTCAAAGGGGTTCTTTTGTCACATTATTTTTTTCTTTGTTATGAAAGTTCTTGTTATAAACTCTTGTTAGAGAACTTGAAAACACATAGCTATGAATAAGAGACTGCAAGTCACCTGTGCCCCCGCCACTCCTCCCAGAGAGCTTCCTGCTGGACTCAGGTGGCAGCAGCCGGAGCGAGAAGGGAGGGAGGACCCAGGCGGAGAAGCTCCTGTCCCCGCCTCCGCCTCCAAAGACAGCTTAGGGTTTGGGGGGTAGGTTGTTCCAGTGTGCTGGGGTACCATTTTCCAGCCACCAAGCCTTCGTACAGGGAGGCTCCCCTCCCATCGAGGGAGCTTGGAGCCTAGCAAGGGAGACACAGTCACTACAGAAAGGCCTATGTGATTAACTGAGATACGCCAAGAGGGAAAAGCTTGGGGTGTGCTGACAGCTGGTGGCTGAGGCCAAAAGCTCTGAAGAACAGTTGAAGGTCCTCGGTTCAAGAGGTTAATTTTTCCATCAGCGTGCAAGCAAACCAAAGCTCTTCAGCCTGAAATTTTAAAAACTATAGCTGTTCCCCAACAAAGCAACAATCTTCACTGAACTGTGCAAGAAGTCCTTTGTTTCCCCGAGCAAGAGAAACTGTGATACTTTGAGATTTATCCTTAGAAAGTACAACTCAGGTGAAATCTCCCTTTCTAAGGAGTTGACCTGGAGTTGTCCCCACTGCCTGCTGAAGGGAGTTCAGAGGCCTCAGTCTGTGGTCACGCCTCTGCCGTCTGGTGTCAACTGTCCTTCTGATCCTCTCTCCTGCTACTGCCCTTGGACGGCCTGGAGTGCCATCCAGCTGCCATGCTGTCCTCGTCCCTCCATTTCTGCAGTTCCTCAGGCTGGTCCCTCAGCCCGGAGGGCCACTCCCCTCTGCGTGCTCTCAGGCTTACCTGCCAGCCAGTTCAGATCCACTCTTGACTGGTGACAATTCATCCCCTTTCTGAACTCCTACTGTGTTGTCAGCAGCTCTCTTACGGCTGTCTAGCATGTTCCAGCTTGTGTGTTAGTTATTCAGGGTGCATCTGCTAGCCATTCTGGCCTTTCCAGGCCTCAGATGGGGCTAGTTTGTTCTACAGGACCTTTGCATGTGCTGTACTGATGCCAGGAACACAGCTGCGTGACTGCAGGAACCACTTTGTCTGTTTGGTTCACCACTATTTCCCCAGTGCCTGGGACAAGTAAGTGCTTCCTTACTGGAATGAATGAAGAGTATCCTGTAGTTCTGATTGTTCTTAGGTCTCTGGCCTAGGCTTGTAACTAACTGTAGATTTTGTTGTTCTTTAATTATTCACTATGATTTTTGCATAAGCTGAAGGTTTTTTTGGTTACTGGTGTTTTCCTTATATCTAAATGTATTGGAAATCTCAATTGGAGTTCCCAATTGGAAATCTAAGATACAAATATTCTGGTACAAGATAAAGAAGTTGCATCTATAATTTTTTCATATACTCTATTGATTTGGGAATGAAATATTTCTTTTAGCATTTTATTTTTTATTTATTTTATTTTTTTATTTTTATTTTTTATAGAATATGTATTTTTTTATTAATTCATTTTTTGTTACAGATGTTTCTCCTTTTCCCCCCACTGATTCCCCCCCTCTCCCTCCCTCCCTGCCCTGTCCCCAGCTTTGTTGTCCATGTCCATTGTTCATGCATACATGCATATAAGTTCTGTGGTTTATCTCTCCCCCACCACCCCCTCTTCTGGGGATTGTCAGTCTGTACCCCACTTCCACGTCTCTGGGACTACCCCATTCCTCAGACTGTTATGTTCATTATATTCCACAAATAAGTGAGATCATATGATACTTGTCTTTCTCTGTTTGGCTTGTTTCACTTAGGATGATACTTTCCAGGTCCCTCCATGTAGTCTCAAAGGATAAGAGATCTTTCTTTCTTACAGCTGCGTAGTACTGCATTGTGTATATGTACCACTGCTTTTTTATTCATTCGTCTACTGATGGACACTTGGGCTGTTTCCAGATCTTAGCTATTGTAAATAGTGCTGCTACAATCATGGGGGTACATATATTCTTTCTGATTGGTGTTTCAGGCTTCTTAGGGTATATTTCTAGAAATGGGATCCCTGGGTCAAATGGAAGTTCAATTTTTAATTTTTTGAGTTAACACCATATTGTTTTCCATAGTGGCTGCACCAGTCTGCATTCCCACCAGCAGTGTACTAGAGTCCCCTTTTCTCCACACCCTCGCCAACACTTGTTGTTTGATGATTTGTTGATGGAGGCCATTCTGACAGGTGTCTTTTAGCATTTTAAAACTGGAATCCTTATTTGAGGGATCTTAGACTTAAGGCATTTTAATGTTATGATGCAAATTTTATTTTTAAAAATTATATAATACATTTAATAAGTAATGAATTAATCAGCTTTTATCTTTTTATCAATTTGATATTTTATATTTATCTAAAGCATAAGTGTAATAAACTATAAAACTCAAAGACCTAGGAAATTATATTAAAGTATAGCTATTGGATTCGGAGATTCATCAAGCTTTCTAGTTAACTGAGTTTTTAACCATAGCTGTCATATTAACCTGAGAAAATTATTTTTAATATAGTCAATCCCTTTAATTATCACTGATTTTTCTCCAACTTTACTGGTAGAGTTACTGGAAGAGTTAGTTACGAAACTAAGCCATTCTCCTTGCTGTGAAACAATGTCATTATGTTCATCTGTTTCTGCGAAGGAGAGACCAAATCAGTGATAGATTGAAAATGCCTTTAACTTTTTCATCCTCTGATGTGTTCTAGTTGCGCTGCAGTAAATACATTCCTACAGTGCATTCTTCCGTTGCATTTGAATAAATAGCCAATGCTTAGTGCTTTGTGGACATATGATATTTTATCAAAATAAGACCCATCGCTAATAACCATACATCAGTTTCTCCTTAGTAACTTTTGTTACCTCCTTAACCTCCTCTGGCTCCCCCTTTTCCTCATTTGTTACTGGGATGCATACATAAAGTGCAAAGATCCTTCTGGTAGACACATGGGATGAGAAGTAGGGCCTGATGCGGACTTGGGGATTAGGGGCTATTCTTAGACCTGCCATGATTGTGGTGGAGTAGCGGGCCTTTCCTCTGTACCCTCTCTCAGCTTCGCCATCTGCAACATGTCAGAGACAGTGCCAGATGTCTTCTGTGTCCACTGCTGAGACTGACCACAGAGCCCTTTGTTCTCCAAGGGTAGTGATCGGACTGGATGCCGACAAGTGCACATGCCCGCCTGTGGTAACTCACAGTTCGCTGAAAATGTCCTCAGAGCACTTTCTGTGACTTGGGAAATAAAAACCCATGTGAGCCCCGGCTGGTTTGGCTCAGCAGTTAGTGCCGGCCCGAGGACCAAAGAGTTGTGGGTTCGATTCAGGGCAGGGGCACGTACCTCAGTTGCAGCTTGGGCTGGCCCAGGTTGAGGTTGTGCCAGAGGCAACTCCCACATCGATGTTTCACTCTCTCCCTCCCTCTCTCTATCTGAAGATAAATGGAAAAATATCCTCTGGTGAGGATTAAAAATAAATAAAAAATACACCCTGGCTGGTTGGAGCATTGGCCTGCGGTCTGGAGAGACCCGGGTTCGGTTCCCGCTAAGGGCATGTACCTCGGTTGCAGTTTGTCCCCGGCCCTGATTGGGTCATGCAGGTGGCAGCCACTCGATGTGTCCCTTTCATGTTGATGTTTCTCTCTCTCTCTCTCTCTCCCTCCCACTCTATCAACAAAATATCAAAAAATGTCCTCGGGTGAGGATAAAAAATAAATAAATAAAATAAATAAATAAAAACCGATGTGAATTTTGAATTACTTAATGCATTTAATAGAATAATTAAATAATTTCAACTTTGAAAAATATATATAAAGATACTCACCAAAATGTTCACAGCAGTGCCTCTGGGTGGTGGGATCGCGTGTATGGGGGCTTACAGGTGGATTTTCTTTCATGGATTTTTGTTTTCCGAAATTTCCGCCATGATCCTTCGTCAAAGCTTGCAGTGTTTCCAAAAGCTGTTTTAGCAAGCGCTGTGAGGTTGCTTGTCCGTGCGCTGTGCTGAGGGCCGCCTCCTTCAGAGCTGTGTTCTAACGGTGCCACTTTGCCTCAGTCCAGGATCTGTGCGCGGCCGAGGACCATGGCTGTGAGCAGCTCTGCGTGAATGTGCTGGGCTCCTTCGTCTGCCAGTGCTACAGTGGCTACACCCTGGCCGAGGACGGGAAGAGGTGTGTGGGTGAGTATTCCCTCCAGCCTTGCTTAAGGAGGAAGGACAAGCTATGCGTAGGAAAGAGGGAGGGGGAGGCCCCCACACCCAATTGCTCTCCTGCGAGTTTTAACAAAGTGCTCAGTCCTCTGGTCTAGTTGTGGAACTTGAAAGACTTCATTTATGGCTGAGGTTAACATTTTCTCATCTGGGTCCTCAGCAAAAGGCACATTGATGATCATCTGTGTAAATGTAGTTGTCTGTTACTCCTTGAAAAGGACTGGGCAGATTTCCATCAAGTGAAAATGGGAGGGTATGTTTGGGACAGCCTGCCTTAAACATAGCTCATGTGTCATACGCATAAATGTCACCTGCTGGCGTGCTGCGTTGCTGAGTGGCCCCTCTCAGACGTGGGCCGGCAGCCTTCCTCCTAAGTAGGTATTGGACCTGCAGTTCAGGGGCAGGCCAAGCAACTGCCCGGTGTAGGAGCCCAGCCATATGCAATAAGGCACCAGGGTCGGGGAAAACAAAAAGTAGCCTCAAACGCACGCCCCAGCTAAGGAGTGTCAGGGGCAGTGCAGGGAACTGCCATCGGTTGAGCAGTGTCTCACCTGGGCTGCTCCACACCTGGTGAGAGGGAGGCGAGACATCTGATTTCTCAGCGATGAAGAGTGGGTCTCTCCAGCTCGCAGATCCCTAACGGCACCTCCCAGCCTGTCTGCAAAGCCCTGGAAACTTGCAGTCTCATTCTTCCACGAACAAACAGTGCCCAGCAAATAGTGGGTGTTAAAGAAACCGAACTGACAACTTATGAAGCAGCAAATCTGGAAGGAAAAGGACTCCACTGGTATCAGAACTGGACTCTAAGTCCTGCATTTTCTCTTCCATATCCCAGTGTTATGTCTTGCTCCCCACTAAATAGTGAAATTTTTTGCACATAGAAATTACATTTTCCAGCTACCTTGATTTTAGGTTAGGATACGGAAGGAGAAAAGCAACAAAACATAAAGTGGAGGCCATGGTCGGCTCTTTGCAGGTGAGGGATGAGAGTGTCACGGGTTGGTTTGTTTGTTTGTTTGTTTGGTTGGTTGTTGTTACATACTGATGGGGATGAAAACCTCCCTCAACAGAGGCTCACAGATGGAATTGGTCTCCTAAGTGTTAGAGTGGTTTTTCTTAATCTGCTCGTGGTGACCACAGTAGGTGGCAGGTACCACCCCCACTAACATGGTACCACCCCCACTAACATGGGCAAAAGAGGAAATAATGTAGTAAACACCAACTCTTATGGTTTTTGCTTCATTGATTTTTATTATGTAAGTAATATACTGCTGTTGAGGAACTTAAACAGATAAGAAAATTACTAAGTTTGTTGTATTTTCTGCCAGACTTCTCCCCATGTAAATATATACTCAAAACATTGTGTTAATGTTTAACAAAATGAGGTCGTGCTATCTTTTTTCCCCTTACCAGTTGTTAAATGAGTAGAAACTTCAGGTGCTACAGGGTCAGAAGGAAACGAGGCCATTGGGAATAAGACCAGTGGCTGAGCTTTAGGAAACAGGGTGCGGGTGTCTGGTAGCTGAGGTTGAGGAGAGGGGTAGGCAGAGCCCCGAGCCTATGAGGGAGACAGTGGGGAGACAGGACAGGGTGATGAGGGCCATGGCTGGAGCAGGAGGCCTTGGGAAACTGGATGGCAGTGAGGACCCCAGTTCTCTGAGTGTTGCCAAATAATTGCCTTATTGTCCCTATGTAGTAGAGAACCTTTGTGTCTCCAAGGGCTTTGCTGTAACTTCTGGAATTTGACATTTATTGAAGAGCAGCAAGCATGAAAGTAGATGCGGTGGTTGCCAGGGAGCTGTTGTGGGCTGTGTTTATTAGAGATGGTATTTCTCTTGCTGCTGTTATCAGCATCTAAGAATGTCTGCCTTTCCTCAGAGGGGCAGTCCAAGCAGAAGAATGGGAAAATTGGAGGGACTATGCGTGACCCAGGTCTTATCCATCAGGTGTTCCTCCTCAACCAAGAGCCAGACCTGTTGGAGGCTGAGAGTGTGATGATTAAGTGATAGTGGACCTTTGTTGCCAGTGATCTTGGTTAGAGAGACTGAACTAATTCTCAAAAGATTGGTTGCTGCTCAGTCGGGCTGTGCTTAGTGCAAAGCAAAGGACAGACATAATAGAGGCTACAGAAGGGACATCCTGATGGCTAGGCCACGTGGGGAAGATCTGGGCAAGGAAGGAAGGGTGGCAATTGAACAGATGTCCAGGGCAAGAGGAGACATGAAGGACAATAATGGTGTGGAGGTGGTGGTGCTCTCAAAGTTCAGAGCCTGAGGCTGGGCTAGGAGGGGCACGTCTTGCTCCTGGGAACTGTGGATCAGGAGGAGACTCACAGGGAGAACACCAAATTGAGAGCAAAGCAGGCAGCCTCACCCGAGAATACCAGTCTGAAGAGGCTTGTCAAAGGAGGGGACCCCCAGCTATTTGACTCAGAGCAGGAAATTGAGAAGTTGAGAGGAGAGCTATTGAAGGACTTATATTCGGGAGGGACAAATGCAAAGCCTCCTCTTGGGACACTTAACCTTGTAGTCAACCACAGGATGGGTTCTAGGAAGAAGATGGCGAGGGATGGAAAGGCCAGTGAGAGACTATGGTATCATCATCAGAGGAGAGGGGACAAGAGCCAGAGTCTGAGTAGTGACTGGAGGAATGCAGAGGGGAGGAGGAACAGGTGGGGAAAGGTGCTATAAGTGAAGGTGGGAAGGAAAGTCACTAGTGACTGCTGAGTTTGAGCTTCCATGACTCTTAGAGTGATGGCAACAGTGATGGAGGAGTGGTGGGGACGGAGTCTTAGAAAAGACAATGAGTAGTTTTAGACACAGTGAATCTGAAGTTGAGGTGGGTCACCAACGGGACATGTCAAGAGGGAGCAGGACACAGCACTCACACGACGGGACAAGGTTAGAACCGAAATGCAGTCAAGAAGCAGCACAGTCCATTTCTTTCTAAATTTTCTTTTCCATCTGTTCTTCATTTTAATGTTTATGCATTTTTGTTTGTTTTGAAGGCATCTGGGCCTTCAATACAGTAAGACCTGGGCTTACATCCAGTTCTGCTATTGCTAGTCATGGGTCTTTGCATAAATCATTTAACTTCTACAGTTTTCTCATCCATAATATGGAGTAAGGAGGTTTTGTGGAATTAGATAAGATAATGAGTAAAGTTTCTAACACACACCAGGCAGTTTATTGTTGTTGTTGTTGTTGTTGTTGTTACTACTACCACTACTACTATACAAATTATTATCATAATTTCCTGCATATCTGAAGTGTGGAGTGAGGAAACAGTGAAGGTCTGAGCCTTGGGTTGTAGCCACGTGTAGGAAGCAGGAGGGAAAAGTGGGGGCAGGAAAAGTATCCATGAAGGAACAGTCTAAGGTGGGGAGGGGAGTTTCTATCTCTCTCTCCCTCTCCCTTCCTCTCTCTCTAAGATCAATAAAGGGAGGGGAAAAAAGTATTTCCGGGCCAGGTCTGTATTAATGTCATGCTCCAGCGAGGCCAGAGGGAACAAAACTTAGAAAGCCATCAAGTTGAGTAATGGATTCATCTCAGCAAACATTTCAGAACTCTCTGCCAGACACTCTGCTGGGCATCAGGGGCATAAAGATGACCAGGAGACCACTGCGATCCAGAGGGGCAGATGTCGGGAGCAGGAAATGGGTGATGAAGAAGGCGGGGACAGCAAATCTCAACAGTTCATTGGAAGGAGGTCGGTAGAGATTCCCCCTGTTTAGCTGCGGGTGGATGGACGCAGTGGGTTTTCAGGTCCAACACTTCCATGGTCGTGGTTCTGGCACTTTGATCCATCCCATAATTATGACTGTGACCTGCATGGAAATTCAGTTCTTAGCCAAACTCAAGACTTATAGAATTTCCATACTTTTGAGTTAGTAGAAGGTTAAATTTGAGTGCCAATGTCTCATCCCCATAACTTCTCATTTTCCTGTGGCAAGTACTGAATTTATTTCCGCATTCAGATGATCAAGTGTGGATTATTGACTCAGGCCCTCCTTTTGCTTTAGTTGAGTTCCTGTATTTGTCATCCATCAGCTGCCACTATAGCTATGTTAATTTCCATCTCAAAGTGTACATGTAAAAATGCTTTCAAATTTATTTTTAATTATAGTTGACATCCGATATTATGTTAGTTTCAAGTGTACAGCATAGTGATTCCACATGTATGTACCTTATGAAGTGATCACCCTAGTAGGTCCAGGAATCATCTGTTACTGTCAAACTGTACATTTTCAAAGACCATTTATTTATACCTTTGAGGGTGAAGTTTCTGCAGTACCTGCTCACCTGGTGTTTACTGACAGCCTTATCTTTCAGGGTAACTTTGGTCCTGTTTTATATCTTATCTGCCCAAGTAGATAGTAAACCCTTGAAGACAGAGGCCACTGCACTTTTCATCTTTCAAAAAGTGGATTTACGCCCTGGCCGGTTTGGCTCAGCGGTTAGAGTGTCGGCCTGCGGTCCGGAGAGACCCGGGTTCGGTTCCCGCTGAGGGCATGTACCTCGGTTGCAGTTTGTCCCCGGCCCTGGTCGGTTGTGCGGGTGGCAGCCACTCGATGTGTCCCTTCACGTCGATATTTCTCTCTCTCTCTCTCTCTCCGTTCCTCTCTCTCCCTCCCACTCTACCTGAACAAAAAGTGGAAAAATGTCCTCGGGTGAGGATAAAAAAAAAAAAAAAGTGGATTTACCATCCTTTTTTTTCCCAATCATTGACTGGGTTGTGATTGATTACAATCTCAAGCATTAAAAAATTTTTTTTTTCCTTTGATGGGATTTTATTACTACAAAAAAGTCAGAGTACAGACATGTATGAAGTCAAAACCTGAAAGTTATTCCTCCCCAATTTCACTTCCTAGGTGATAACTGCTAAGAGCTTGATTTCTCCTTCCTGCCTTTCTTCTAAGGTGTCTTACAAATAGTATTTGCTTGTCATAAGCATCCCAGGTTTAGCACATG